ATGGGTTTGTTTGCAGCTTGTGTGCAGATAGAAATTGTTATTTTTGGTCACTTCACAACTTACTTCATTTGTCATTTTCAAATGAAACACTCAAAACTTTAAACTATCTGAACTAGTACAGAATAACGTGATTTGACCGAGGAGTAACAACACTGGGAACTCCCACAGAAAACATGTAGTAAATCTCAGTTCCTCTTCATTTTGATGTAGCAAAACTGGAAGAGTCTCTTTGTTAAAGTCCATCTTTTCTATAAGGATTATTATCAGTCGTTATAAAGTTCCTCTCACACATTCACTCAGTTCTGCTGAACTGACACTATAGAACAACCAGTCGCTCTCTGATAAATATAATCAATACAAAACATTTTAACCTTTGAGTTCTTTCCGAATGAAGCGAACTACAAACCGGGTCTAAAGCCGAGAGTTATGGCGTTTTGTGATTCTGTGGCTGAATGAAAGCAAGCCCAATGTCTAACACACTTCACCAGCCATTAGAAGTCAAACTGCAGAATTAGGCTGCTTAAAGCATGTCAAACCATCATGGTAATTCCACGGTTTCATTTAAAGAAGAGAGGAACCGAGTATGCACTGATGAAATGACCACCGTTACTAAATAACCCTGAGCGGTTCTGTATTCTCTCACAAGGAGAAAGTGTCGCAAGTCTTTTGTTTAATGATCAATGATGACGGCATTGGTCTCAAAACTGAAGGAGCTGCCTATCTAGTGAACAAACATTCCAAGAGTGACTAAAAATGCTGCCTCGATGGGTTTTGAGCTGGATACTAGAGTTCAGATATGCTGTTTATCAGCCATTAGCGGTCGACCACTACTTAAAACACAGAAAGTACCGTGTCAAATCCAGTGCAAGCTTCTTACATTAGAAGCTCAGATGCCAAAGAAGGGTGTTTCTTCAACTAAAGACACTTTCGAAAATAAATCCTCTTGAAATACACTTGTATCTGCTGTAATTTGCCTGCAAAACAATGTCCCACGAGGGATTCCAGTGTTGTTATTGTTAACTAAAACTATTAAAAATAATTATTTTGTTAACTGAAACAAATCTGAAATAAAATTCAATATTAGATGAAAAGTACTAAAATTACTACAGTTAAATCTGAAAAAAAGCTCAACAGAAATAATAATAAAAAACTAACAAAAGCACATAAGAATATGTTATAGCTAATTCAAAATATTAACGAATACTTTAATTGTCTAAAATAACACTGGTATATGCATCACATTTCTAAACACTCTTTGCATTTAAGTCCCATCTTCACTGGCAATAATGCACAAATAAAGTTCATGTAATAATTACCTTGCTTACTACATTAACTAACATTTGTTACAGTATTTTATCATTTAAAAAATAGAACTGTTCATTGTTAGTTCATTTGAGCTCAAGTCTATTAAATAATATTAACAGATACAACTTTTGATTTTAATAAT